TTCCAAACGGAATGTATAAGTCACTTATCAAGATCGATGTGAAAAAGACTAAATTTTGAAATTCTATTTATGAGCCGAGATATTCGAAGTTAAAATTTGCTACGTAAAATCTTTGTTTCAATCGACGGTTATTTGCTGTTCGCACAACATGTCAATGAAGTTTAGGATTGCTGACAATTTGCATTAATCACGACAAATTTAACTTTTTTTTCTTTACGACAAGCATTTAAACTGCTTTACATAGAACGTGAGAATCGTGCCACACATTTGTGTTTACGTGTTAAGCAGAAACAGTAAAACGCATGTCGCTAAGCTCAATTTCCTTTTTTCCTTAAATACCTAATATTAAAGTTTGGCCTCTGACATCGCATGTCAGTTTATTACTTGTATTAATTTAATGTGCAAAATTTCTTTTAAATCTGATAAGTCATTACTTTGCAAAAGATGTTTCAGCAATTTGTCAATTTGAGCCACTGCCAAAAAACTTTTCTTACTTGGTTTGTTGCGCTTCAATCAATTTTTGATAATTAATTAATTAAAGTAGATTACATTTGGCTGATTAAGATGTGGTTTCTTCTTCATATACTCAAAGTGAAATGGATATAACGAAGCACCTTCGAAAGTTTTTCGAATGTAATTCGTTACATTTATATCATGATTCTCATTATAAATTTTAGCAAAACTTTATATAGAGAAATTTGCGATAAAATGATTCAGATACCTAATGGTAATTTTTTTCTGAAAGAAATCATAGTGAAATATTTTTAAAAAGAGAAAGGTTGGATTTGGATTCGGAGTCGCACATTTTAAATTTGCTGGGTTGGGAATGCATCATTTGTTTATCGACACCCCACGCTGGTAAAATGTCAAAAATCTAGATATCATAAACTCGGAAATGGTCATGATGAAGTTAATATTAATCAGTTCAATGGTAATATTGTTGTTGATGTTAATTATAATATTACCTGTTTATATTGCTAGCTTTCTTAAAAAATTTCATAGAAAATATAGTACACCTTTAGTTTATTATAATGATGATTTTCACTATTGACCACTAATTTAATGTTATATTATATAAAATAGTGCTAACTATTAAAATTATTTACAGAATTCTCCAAAATTCGGCATGGGCTTGAAAAAATTAATCGAATCCAATAAATTGGCAAATGAGAGGTTCGATGATAGTTTTGCTAATAGAATGATGACAGAAAAAATTGCTTTTATAACTTTTGAGATTGTCATAAAATTGCAACTTTATTCTTTGGGAATTGAAAATTTTCTGATATCTACAGATCAACTATATACTAATAATATTGCATTTGGTATAGCCAAGAAATTTCCATACAGAAAGGAAATCGACAAAGTGTAAGTTACAGGAATATTTTACATTGTGTCTTGCTTCAAGTTTATTTTTAAACGCTATATTTTTAATCTCAATTTCAGAATTTTGCGCTTATTTGACACTGGAATTATAAGAAAGTTCGAAAATGACGAACTAAGAAAACTCAAAAGAAATCGACAATCAAATTCAGAAAACTCCAGAATTAAACATGTTTTAAGTATGACTGATTTAGCTGGGCCGTTTTCAATTCTAGTGATTGGATTTATTTTATCGCTCGTCACATTTTTAATGGAATATTTCACATATAAAATATATCGATATTTTTCTTAATTATTTAAATGTTACTATTTACATTGAAAAAAAACAGATTTATGAATAGCTTAATTAGAAATACGCGTTTCCAAACTAAAATTACTCATATTTCTTAAATTAGAGAAGAATTTTAACATGTTCAATGGTCATAAATAAAGGACAAATTAGCGTAAATTCAGGTCCCTTTAGATTAATTTTAGTGGCTGAGGCAAACCTACCAATGAATGATACAAATATATTTNTTTGCACCTGAATTTTAAATATCTTACATGACAACATCAGCATGTACTGTACACTCTGCTATAGATAAGTGTTTCTTTGAAGCACTTTGTATGAAATACTGGTTCTTCACGAGTTAGGGAAATAAAGATAAACTTGAAAATGTGCAGTCAGTTACAATATGCGAACTAGAAAAAAGTGCCAGTGTTTAGTGGTTTATCGATACGGCCAATGATAGACATTTTTATAAGTTACAGTACTATAAGCTATTTTTTTAATCGAATAGGGTTTGAATAAGTTGTTTTTACAGTAGACTCCCTATAACGCGTAGATACGTTCCACGTTATACGAATTTCACGTTGTACGAATCCTTAAATACATGAGCCAATCGCAGCCCGACACGTGGGAAGTTTTCGAACTACGGTTGTTTGTAAGGTTTTCTTCCATAAAATTAACTCAATTCTAGAATAATTCGACTCAACATTTCCAAAACACGTATAATATTTTGGGAATAATCCGTATAAACTATGCTATAAACAAAAATTGTAGGATTACTTACCGAGTGTGCACCGTCGCCATTGCTTAAGCTTTTTTTCGTCGCGGAGCAACGCATCAAACGGCGGCCGCGATTTCTGATAAGTTATTTTTCTGCGAAAAATTCGTTGCACTTTGGAGACATCATTAATATAAATAATATTAATGGCCGTTGAATAAAAAATATTTTTTTCACAAGAAATGTATAAAATTACAGTACTGTATCAGACTTACGGTACCTAATTTACATACTGTACAGACGATAGTAAACTCAACTTACCTGGCTAAACTCTCCGTAGCGCTGCGCTAGACGGCGGAAAGTATATATATAATTATAATAAAGTTACAATAAACGAAGTTAATATATAATTATATATACAGTACCTAATTTATATATAATTAATATATAATTATATGTACAGTACCTAATTTATATATAATTTATATATAATACTGTACAGACAATATAAACTCAATTTACCCGCCTAAACACTCCGTAGTGTGGCGCTGGAGGGAGGAAAGTAGTTCGGCTGCTCGTCCACTATTGGTCCAGATTCGACCAATCCTGTCGTGACACGAGTCGGCGACGACGTTTACGAGTCCCTTTTAGCGTCTTTATACGAATACTGTCGCAATTTTTTCGACAATCGTTATAGGAACCTGGTTATAGGGGGTCTACTGTATTTTGATAATTAAAAGTTAACCTAACTATCGAACTGAAATATTTAACTGAATATAGAAGTTAATTATTATTGAAGATATGTGAATATTTGTATGGAAGAAAGTTAACGATAATTCATTTACTTTCCCTAATTGTTTGAAAGCAAATATTTAAATATGTTCAATAAGTTACTATTTACATTGAAAAAAAACAGACTTATGAATAGCTTAATTAGAAATACGCGTTTCCAAACTAAAATTACTCATATTTCTTAAATTAGAGAAGAATTTTAACATGTTCAATGGTCATAAATAAAGGACAAATTAGCGTAAATTCAGGTCCCTTTAGATTAATTTTAGTGGCTGAGGCAAACCTACCAATGAATGATACAAATATATTTCTATGAACAGTATGACAATTTTTAGCACGCCTTTCATTTTGTCATCCGAATCAGTTGCTTTTCTTTTCTGATAAGTCTCTGCTTTTTCCTATCAAAACGTCACTAGTTAATAATATCAATACATAAAATTACTAATTATTTAAATTTTGAAGAAAGTATCATTTTCGGAGAAGTGGGATTGATAAAATTCATTTTCGGCTAAATTTTAACAGTATTAAAATATTGTTAAAATTCATCTATATTTCTTTTTTATTACTGTTGTTTGATAAAATTATTGTGTTATAATATTATAATAATCCAATAGTAAATTCTTTTCAAGTGTTTGTAATATGCTTTTTAATTTTTTCTTGATGTTATTATTTTTAATGGCTCTATCGTTTCCAAACGGAATGTATAAGTCACTTATCAAGATCGATGTGAAAAAGACTGAATTTTGAAATTCTATTTATGAGCCGAGATATTCGAAGTTAAAATTTGCTACGTAAAATCTTTGTTTCAATCGACGGTTATTTGCTGTTCGCACAACATGTCAATGAAGTTTAGGATTGCTGACAATTTGCATTAATCACGACAAATTTAACTTTTTTTTCTTTACGACAAGCATTTAAACTGCTTTACATAGAACGTGAGAATCGTGCCACACATTTGTGTTTACGTGTTAAGCAGAAACAGTAAAACGCATGTCGCTAAGCTCAATTTCCTTTTTTCCTTAAATACCTAATATTAAAGTTTGGCCTCTGACATCGCATGTCAGTTTATTACTTGTATTAATTTAATGTGCAAAATTTCTTTTAAATCTGATAAGTCATTACTTTGCAAAAGATGTTTCAGCAATTTGTCAATTTGAGCCACTGCCAAAAAACTTTTCTTACTTGGTTTGTTGCGCTTCAATCAATTTTTGATAATTAATTAATTAAAGTAGATTACATTTGGCTGATTAAGATGTGGTTTCTTCTTCATATACTCAAAGTGAAATGGATATAACGAAGCACCTTCGAAAGTTTTTCGAATGTAATTCGTTACATTTATATCATGATTCTCATCATAAATTTTAGCAAAACTTTATATAGAGAAATTTGCGATAAAATGATTCAGATACCTAATGGTAATTTTTTTCTGAAAGAAATCATAGTGTAATATTTTTAAAAAGAGAAAGGTTGGATTTGGATTCGGAGTCGCACATTTTAAATTTGCTGGGTTGGGAATGCATCATTTGTTTATCGACACCCCACGCTGGTAAAATGTCAAAAATCTAGATATCATAAACTCGGAAATGGTCATGATGAAGTTAATATTAATCAGTTCAATGGTAATATTGTTGTTGATGTTAATTATAATATTACCTGTTTATATTGTTAACTTTCTTAAAAAATTTCATAGAAAATATAGTACACCTTTAGTTTATTATAATGATGATTTTCACTATTGACCACTAATTTAATGTTATATTATATAAAATAGTGCTAACTATTAAAATTATTTACAGAATTCTCCAAAATTCGGCATGGGCTTGAATAAATTAATCGAATCCAATAAATTGGCAAATGAGAGGTTCGATGATAGTTTTGCTAATAGAATGATGACAGAAAAAATTGCTTTTATAACTTTTGAGATTGTCATAAAATTGCAACTTTATTCTTTGGGAATTGAAAATTTTCTGATATCTACAGATCAACTATATACTAATAATATTGCATTTGGTATAGCCAAGAAATTTCCATACAGAAAGGAAATCGACAAAGTGTAAGTTACAGGAATATTTTACATTGTGTCTTGCTTCAAGTTTATTTTTAAACGCTATATTTTTAATCTCAATTTCAGAATTTTGCGCTTATTTGACACTGGAATTATAAGAAAGTTCGAAAATGACGAACTAAGAAAACTCAAAAGAAATCGACAATCAAATTCAGAAAACTCCAGAATTAAACATGTTTTAAGTATGACTGATTTAGCTGGGCCGTTTTCAATTCTAGTGATTGGATTTATTTTATCGCTCGTCACATTTTTAATGGAATATTTCACATATAAAATATATCGATATTTTTCTTAATTATTTAAATATTTCTGGTTTGTGCGACGGTAAAGCAGGGAGAGGACACAAATTTCAGAAAATCGTTCTATTTATAATTATATGGGATAAATTACAGAATGAATTATATTTGAGCATTCCATTATTGTCAATCTTTTTAGAAAAAGTGTTATTTTTAAAATTTTGATAACAAAAAAGTAATTTTAACAAATATATATAAATATATATACCCTTTTTAGTTATCTTTTCTAATAGGGTTGATAACATAACGCATTATGAGTAGGAAATTTGTCGTACGGAATGATCAATGTTAGTAACATGATGTAGGATGTGCTGAAAGAAAGTTTTTTCTTCATATATATTTTCAATTTATTTTCTTTCTTTCGTTTTCATCACACAAAGCACAAATTTTTATATAGAGCAAGCCGTTTTCGTAGAACTGTTTTTTACATTTTAAACATTTTAACTATTCTGATTTGGACCGAGTGTCAGATAAAATTTTCACACATTTTTCGTATTCATCTTTATTATAATTTTCAAAGAGACTATTGAATTGAATTCCAATCTCTTATCCTTCGTCTGATAATGATAATTATATCTCAAATCGTCTTTTATATCTTTGCTGTTTATTGGTTTTGTTTAATAATTCATTCTGTGACATTCTGTGTTCATTTACATTTTTATGCTTTTTACTTTGGCTTTTTTATTTTTTTTCTTTAATTTTTCTTATATAATATTTCCGTTTTTACTTTTTTGTAAATTCGATAAGTGATGATAGGAACAGATAGATTTCTTTTTGAAATAGATGGATAAAGATGAATAGGAACAGAGCATATAGACAGCAAAGCTTTAGTGGTTTCCAAACGTATTTTCTTTGTATCAGCAAATCTAAGAGATTGCAATTCTAAATATATTTTACTAATTTTTATTAATCCCTTGTTAATTTAACATGGTCAAATGTTTCTTTCGGTAAAATTAAAATTAACTGTATTTAATCTTAGATGTTATAAAACAAATACCATATAGACTTATTAAGCCGGAAAAAGTAAACAAACACCAAAAAAATTACATTTATTTTTCTACATTTCCCAATATGCCTTTCAGGTCTGTCAAACTCCTCTTCAGTTGGAATATAATTTATCTGTACAGAAATTTAAGATCTGACTAAAGTATAAAGACATTACATTTAAATTCTCCAATTTTTCCTCTTTATTATATATAAAATTTAAAATTACTGTTTCGTTATCATGCATTTCGAACAAAAAATATAGTATAGTACAATTTTATTTGAAATTTCCCTAATTAAAAAGTTACAATTTCTTATTATCTGTATATATCCTAAATAACCACAAACTTTCAAACCATAAATAGTATATTTGGCTCTTCTAATGTCAAAGAATTATTACAACCATTTGAATAAGTACGACCATATAATTATGATATAATATAAATTATTTATTTTTTTTAAATTCCAGCCACAGAAAGATGGTAGAAAACTTGAAAATAAATACAATTCTTCATTAAAATTTTTACGACGATATGACATTAAAAACATGTATTTAATACACTTGACGCCGTCCTTTTATTGTTGGATCCGGCACCAACTATACACAGCACTAAAAGTTTTCACAATATCAATATGATAACTGAGTTGTATTTAAACGATGAAAATCCACTCTGGAGTTCCCTGGTGAAAGTATTATTTACATAATTGCATAAATCGTATAGTCACAACGACTGATGCCCTTGGGACTATACGATTTATGTAATTATGTAAATATTGTCTAATTCCAGCGTTTTCATCAGGGTACAAAGATCTTAAATTTCTGTATAAATCTTATAATTGAGAAGGGTTGATAATAATTATAATAATAATAATATGCGCAGAGCCCAAAAGGATAAGAGTTGAAAGTTGAAACTTAATACACAATTAGGGTACGTTATGAGAATGCACACTAAGAAGGGATCTTTCGAAATTCGCCCCGCGGAATAGAGGGAGAGAGTTAAGGATTACCCCGAAGAACTTGGCTTCTACTGTAGTATTATAGATGCGATTTTTTGCGTTTGTTGCGGGTAATCAAACATATTTTTACACCCATCTAAAAATTCTCTAATTTATCTCGGTATAGGGGACAAATAATTCTTGCACCCGGCAAAAACAGGTAAGATCGGCAATAATCTAATAATCTTAATGTTCGCTATCATTACTTTTTGCCCGAGCAACGCCGGGCTTATCTGCTAGTAAATTATAATCTAACTGAAGAAACACTTAACAGGCCTGAAATGCATATTGGAGAATAAAAAAATAAATAAATTTTGCTGGTGTTTGTTCTCTGTCTCCGGGTTAATATGATATTTGTTTTCGAAAATGTAGGATTTACTAAAATTTAAAAAAAGTAGACTAGAATCAATGTAAAACGAGATTAAGATTTTTAAGTATAATTCTTAAAGTTTTCATTGGAATGTTAAATTGTATGCTTGCTGCTTATAAAGACAACCTTTTCTTTGAAATAGTGGTACCCAGATCTTTTACATCACCCTAGTTCCTGCATGCACTATTTATTTTTCTAATACTGTATACATGTTTCGCATTATAATATATTCTATACCAATAAATTATAGAATTGGAAAAGTATTAGACTATGTACTCTATATATTAAAATATATAGGAAATTAATGTCATGTCTCTTTTATGCAGTTTATCTCTCTTGAATAGAGAGAAGAGATATCGCACACAGTCTTTTAAGCACAAACGTTGAGAAACAATACAAAATTTACTATATAACATGGGTATGATCATAAGTTTAACTGTCCTCCACCATTTAATATTATTTAGTTTTATAAATACGCTCATTAAAAATATCATAATGAATGCATAAAAATTCAGACACTTAATTTAAAAACGTCAGCTATCGAAATAACTTCTTTCTAAGTTCCGAAAAGTGTAGAATTCTTATGGAATTTAGAAATCTGTTTTTTAGTCTTCATTGTCTACTAAGAGAACTAGTGCCATTCATTTCAAAACTTGCAAAAAAATTTACGTTCTATTTCCTAGAGCTTTTACGACAATAATTTCGATAGTCCTGTTTCAATTGCTGGCTGCTGCTTTTGCTGAATGATCTGATTTATTATTTTCTTAAGTTTTAATGTAAAATAACCAAATATAGTAATTATTATTTCTTGATGTTGAAAGTTTTTAGTACCCCTACCAATTTTAATATCCCTACCAACTGAGAAATTTAACTATCTGTTTGTTAATCAACATATTGACAGATTTATTATATACTGTATATATGAATCGATTTATACGAAATGCTCTCGTCGTTGTAAGCAATTGCTACTCGAATAGTATAGAGTTTTGCTGAATAAATTGCACATTATCTTGCTAACTTATATTTTTCTAACAAATACAACTTTATAAACATTGTGCATTAGACACATTATACAGTCAAAACGATCGTACATTGCAAATACAGTAAATTGGGTTAAATTTTAGACGATAATTACTGTTTATTAGATAAATGAATTTCACATTTATTGTACTGTAAATTATTATTGAGATTGACTAATTCAGCATGAAATTATTATATTTGAAAATATTGTAAAAATCATATAATGGTTAATTATGATTTTCAGAAATTGTCATATTAAAAAAGATATCGACAATAGAAGATTTTTCACATTACCTTCCTGTTGCAAGACTTTCTAAGAAAAGCAGGATTTTAAATCGATTATGTTACTTATATTACCTTATATTACAGGTATTTTTTACATATAAATCACGGTATACAGAATTTTAAGAAAAACTACTTTACCCAATTATAATCATAACAGTTAGTTTGGTTCAATAAACGGTGTTTTATATATACGTATAGTAATACAGCTTTTATGAGTTTAGAACCGTATAAGAATCTCTGCTATCTCTATCACTAAGTGTTCTAAACCAGAAAATGGATGAGAATATTTCGCCATTTTTAAAAATATTCAAGAGCTTTTCGAACACCTCTTATAACAAATTAAAAAAAACACTCATATCTTTCATTGTATTAGATATTGATAATTAAACTGAAAGAAAAATCTTGCTGTATTATGAATAATCCAATCAACACTATGTCGATATTCCAATCACTTCAACACTAATCTGTATAATGTAATATGCAATGAACAAACGCGATGACTATGTTGACAACAACTTGAGTTAAAAAATTAATTATATTGTAAACTTCGAATTATTTTATTTTCTAAGTTGTACTTTTTAGAATAGAATTCAATATATATCTTTATATATATGTATAAATATTTACTCCTATGTGAAGATTTGACTTGTAATTATTTTATCGTATGTGTGAATTTGTTGATTTTATAATTATTTTATGGTGTTTGTTACAAATAATAATATAACAGTTTTTTATTGCTTTTATAAATTTCTGTGTTTTACAATAAAGTAATGATTTATTTTTATTATAAAGTACTAAATTAAAAGTAGGTCTACTGTATTTTAATTCCCTATATTTAATATAATGTAATTTACTTACATTGAATAATACTAAATAAGTTATATAAATAAAGTTGAAGACAAAGTCTGCCCAAAAGGGACCACTATGTATTTTTTATGAGTTCCAGACAATACACATTTTTGGCGACTGACCTTTCCTTGTAGGCTACTTGTTGCCAGAAGTTCAGAAAGTCCTTTTAAAAACACAAAATATACAGTAGATCCTCCTATAAGACGGTAGATACGTTCCGTTCTTTATGAATCAATTTTGTAGGAATCACAGCCAAACACAACCCGACACGTGTGAAGTTTACGGACTACGGCTGTTTGAAAGGTTTTCTTCCATAAAATTAATCGATTCTAGACTAATCCGACTCAACATCTCCAAAATACGTATATATTTTTTTGAAATAATCCGTATAAACCATGCTATAAACAAAGAATTGTAGGATTACTTACCGAGTGTGCACCATTCGACATCGCCGTTGCTCAAGCTTGTTTACGTCGCGGAACAGCGCAGCAAACAGCGGCCGAGATCTAACAACTTATTTTTCTGCGAAATCTTCGTTGAACTTTGGAGACATCATTAATATAAATAATTTTAATGGCCGTTGAATAAGAAATGTTTCTTTCACAAGAAATGTATAAAATTACAGTGCTATATTAGACTTACGGTACGTAATTTACATACTGTACAGACGATGGCTCGCCTAAACTCTCTGTAGCGTGGCGCTAGACGGCGGAAAGTAGTTCGGCTGCCCGATGACGTTTTACGTAATTATAGGAGTTTTTTTACCGTTGTTTACGGATACTGCCACAATTTTTTCGCCGTCTTATAGGAATCGTAATTATAGGAACCCGTCTTATAGGGGGATCTACTGTATTT